TTTTATAAGCAAACAAACCTGGAGTTAATTCATTCTTTCATGAGCTAATTTAGCCTTATTTTCATGATCCCTCTTAAGTGAGCCCTCAACACTCCTCGGGCACACAAAATGGAAGACAAACGGAAAGGCTGGATTCATACACACAGCATAAAACTGAAGTTTTCAGTTGCAAAGTCAAAATATTTTAGAAAAATATGAGAATCAATCAGCATAGACACCACATTTGTTAAAAACATACTTAAATCACTCACCTTTGTGTATTTTCCCTATACAATGACAATCTAATACATATTTAGGATTCTCAGCAAATCCAACAAGTTACAGCTCAGTAAAATCACAGTTTGAGAAAAACAGTAGTCCTGTACGTAAGACCATAAGTTGTTGTAATTTACCAGGTGAACTGTATTTATTTTTATGCATTTCAAGAAAGACTTGCACGTAGGACAATCTGCAGCCACACTCAGACTCGTAAATTTTTAAAAAATGAGTGCAGAACTTACTTCAGTTGATTTAAGTGATAACATTTGGGATCTGAAACCAGAAAACCAGTTAATTATTTTTGGCAACTAAATAAAAACTAGACAAAACACGGCAACTGATGACACACAACTGCATGCAGAACTGAGAGAGACACACAGGGAAAGGACAACCTTTGTCCCCACTGGTCAACGCTGGTTCTGCATCTCACACTTCAGTTTGATTATTAATTTTGAACTCTTAGCGATAAAAGCTTTTGAGAGCTGGGGAAAAAAAAAGTCTGTTCATATTTGCTTTAGGACTTACCTAAGTATATTTAAAAATACATGCACTTTTCAAGCCATACTAGCTGGTCAATTTGGCCATGGTCATTAACATCATTCTAACTAAGGTGAACATAATTGAGACATGAAAAGGGCTTTGGAATTAAGATTTTTACACTTCAGACAGCTCAAAGTTGTTCAGTGGGAGCATAATCTCTGCGGAGAAATACTAACACTGGAAGGGCTTTGAGCAAGAGCAGAGGTTGGTGTTGGTAAAGCAGCTTAAACTGCCCTTTCGTGCTTTTATACTACAACACACACAGGGTAGAAAGAGGGAGATCGCCAATTTTCTTAGATTCCTGTTATACCTGGAAAAAACCCTGCGACTTAAGGATTGAGTTTCATCCTTAACTGAGTTTCCAGGCCTTTTATTTATTTTTTTATTTTTAATCAACTCAGGCTGTTCTTTTTCCATTGTATTACAATGACAAATAAAAAGCAGCTTGAATAAGAACAAAAAGAGTATTGCTTCTTAACTTCTCAGTAATACATGAAATAAAATACAAATCAACTTCAAAGGCCACTTAGCAAATATTTGATGAGTTTGAGATATTAAAAATCTATTTAAGTAAGTCTAACAGCCAGCCCAGCTAAAAAGAAAACAAGACCATTCAGAGCGAGCAGGAAATGAAGTCAACTAGAGTTTTAAAATAAATCTGGCTCAAAAATTAAGCAAATGTTAAAATAAAACCATGTCTGGTTACACTAATTACATAAAAAGGAGTTAAATTACTCATTTCCTAGCTCCTTCTGCCAAGATCATCTTCTTCAAGGGAAATTCAATTTAATTTTTTTTTCTGGTTTTTTTGGAAAGAACAAAAATGTTTTATATGAAGAGCTTCCCTCCCTCGACAAGGAAGTTTCATTTAGTGCTGAATCCCAATGAACATTTCTTGACCAAAAAACCCTACGAGCCTGTCAAACAAAAACAGGCAAACACCCTTATCAATGTTGACATTTCTCACTACATTAGCCAATATGCATTATTTTCTTAAAATTTATTGGAAGTCCTCTAAAGTAAAGTAGTATTTAATTCCTGAACAAAGCCTAGATCTTATAGTTCAGGTTGTGTGTCAAATTCTCTGCTCTCCTACATTCACTACTTGAAGAAAAACAAATAGTAAGTACAGTTTGAAATTAATTGATCATTGAATACTGCACGAATTACACCTCATACTTGGGGGGCATTACTGAAATGCAGTTGTCACTAATAAACCACTCAGTTTCCACTACAGCCAGATGTGCCAACCTCTGTTCTGTACATATTTCAGGACTCCATCCTAAGTCATGCTGAGTTCCTGCAATTGCAAGTGATGTCAAAGGGCACTCTGGGTATGGGCAAGGCCACGACAGGATGCCTTCTGATGTAAAAAAATTAAGGTTAATCCAAGAAATTCTTTAGTTGACTCACTTTTCAAGCCAAAACTGATCTGCAAGCTTGTTTCACCCAGTGAGGATGAAATATAAAAGCAAATCTTTTTTTCATTTTCCTAATCTAAGTTTATTTCTAACAGACAGCAAGCATCCTTCCATCAAAACTGCAGGTCAATCATTAGGTGATAAATCAAGTCTGTATTACATTGAAGTTAGACAACTACATTAAACTACAGCAGACCAAGGAACCTTTATTCATTTTGGAAAGTCATTTTCCACTGTCACCTATTTTAATCAAAACTGAGTTGATAAAATATTTATCATAGCTTAGTTTAAAAGAGAAACAGAGATTTTTATGTACATTTTGGCACTATCTGCATTTGACTGTATCTGGCTTAGCAGTATCGGAAGGTTCCACAAGTCAGAAAACAATTTTGTCACTATAATTTCAGTCACTCACTTTACCCCACATCATTAAGAACTAGGAAAAAAACATTTTCTTTTGTATGACAATTTCAGTCTACCCCAGAACACTGTAAAACTTTCCCTTTAACAACATTCTTTAAATATTAAATATGAGGCAGTATTAAAAAAATTCTAAAGTATTTACGCATCACTTCCTTCATTACTAAAAGTAACTGTGAACTTGCATAGAAACCTGAAGCTGGATATGCGTTTGGAAAGTATCCCCCTCTCCAAAAGCCCCCAGACACACGCAGCTTATAGAAAGTAACCAGTTCTGTTTGATGTTTACTGCAGTGGTTCTGAAATTAATATAAATGGATGTGTGACGTGCGAATGGGAGAGCCTGGAACTAATTCTGTTTTATAGAATACAAACCCTTCAGCAATTGGGGTACCTAATTATTTTGATGATAGGTGAAATTTTGCCTTGATCACACAGTACCCAGCTGTGAATCTGTTTTATAACAGAAAATTTCACAGCATGTAACTGGTCTTTAAAATTACGCTGTAAACATGCAAACACATGGCACCACTAAAATAAGCATGTTTTAAAAAGCTCTTTTTCCTTTAAGCATTTTTGAGAAGGGAGGAATGAAAAGGAAGAAAAAGGGAAGTAAGCAATGCTACAAATAGATTTTGTTTACTGTATAATGCTTTTAACATATTTCGGATCTATGAAAAGCTTGACTACGTTTTTTCAGAACAGTTCATATTTTTAAAGAAACTAGAAGAGATGGATTGAATTATTTCATTCTTCTTGGGGATTAATCTAAAAGTTGTTTCCTCTTCATTGTTACTTACACTACAGCTGTGCTCAAACTCCTTTTCCTTTAGAAAAAAAGTTTAGATTTTGAGCCTGCGCACACTATGGTTCCACATTCCAACAGCTTCCTCCCAGTCCTCTGCCAGCATCTGCTATTGAAGACTAGTTCCAATTTACAATAAACAGCTTTTCCAGACCAGAACACTTGAAATTCAGTCCTTCTTGACTGCTTTTCCCATTCAATCTCCCTATTCACCATTTCAAGGAGAAAACTGTTCTGCCAATTATTACACATCTGGAAAAAATGCATGTATAAGCTGAAATGCTCTCAGTAGAAAGTTTCAGCTTTCTGCATATGGTCACAGCAGGATTTTATGGGCCACTGACCAGGCCAAAGTCTAAGTTTTCCCATCTTTCTCCTCCCCCTCATTTCTGCCCACCCCCATCCCAACCCTCTAATTGGAAAACCACAGCAGGTGCAAGTTGTCTGCCATCTTTTCCTCCATAAGAATCTCGAGTAGTTTCTTCTTGATAAATATTAATCTTACAGTCCAGTTTTAACTCACTAGGCTCTATGATAATTTAAATGCATCAGCTGTTAATTGCTTTGCATAAATATGTACATGTTTAAAAATATCATTACCATTGACGCTTGTCTGTTGGTTGTTACAAGGCTAGATGCTCCATAATTTGAGTTCAGGCTTCCAATTGGCCCATTGTGGGATGGTCCCAATAAACTATGTATATCTCCATGGCCACCTGATAGGCTCGTTGAAGGCCCCACAGCATGATTTCGTAGTACATGAATGGCATCATCGAGTCTGTCCAAGCGATCCTCCATTCGAGACTGCTGTTGGGATTGAAGAGGGACAGTAACAGTCATTACTGAATAGATCTGCAGACTCATTACAGCGTAACAGTTTCTACCTCGGAGATCTTAAAGACAGAAGATGAAATGCAGTATCAAAAGACTTTGAAAGCACCTACCAGCACTACAAACAAACAGGAAAAAGAAAAGATATCTGGAGATTTTGCTTGAGATAGCATTCATTCCACAAATAGGTGGCAGCTTTTAAAGTGAAGCTTATTATAAGGTTAATGTCACTCAGCTTCTATTACATGGCATGAACGAGAAAAAAGGAAGTGCTACAAAATAAGCTATCTAATACAGGACGAGAAAGAACGATCATAAAATCAGCCTCACCACGTTAGTAACAATTAAGAGAGGCAGTGGCTTTTTGAGAACCTGTATTACAAAAAAACTGGACAAAATTTTAAGTTATCATTTTCTAAAATGGATCTTTAAACAGATTAGATATTTCAGAAATAAAAGCGAGTTCTGTATGTTACTGCAGAAAAATCTGTCTTAAAATTACTTTCCTTTAAAAAAAAAGACCAAAAAAACCCCAAAGCAAAACCAATTCTGACATTGCAGCTCTCCAGAAACTGAAATAGCATAATATTGGAGTCAAAAGATGGGTCATACGCTACACTAATTTAAGTTTTTAATGGGGAATCCGAAGGAAGCATTAATTGAAACACAAAAAGGCACCATCTAAAGTGAAATAGTACCTCACAGACATCCTTTAAGAAGGACATTGCATCTTGCAAATGCTCGTGAAGTTGCTGTTCAACTCGATTTTTCTGGCAAAGTCAAGACAGAACAGGAAGCAAAGCACAGGTTAAGATTAATTCAAAAAAGAGGTGAGGAAACAGCTGATGTGCATGTCAGCAATAAATTGTTAGTCAAGTTAATGCAACAGAGATCTGATTGTATTAAGATAAGAAAAGGCTAATATTTAACACTGCAGTTATGTTAGGATTCTAAGATGTATATATCAATTATATTTAATTGCAAAAATATTGAAGAAAAGAAAACTGATTTAGCTTAAATTTATTCTTGTTAGACAGAAAAAAAGAAATTACATCTGTGGGAACTAGAAATATTAACAGGTTATCAAAACCTTCCCTCAAATTTTTCCCCTTTCCTTCCCGATGCTGTACCAGAAATTTAAGAAAGAAGTCAGTAACTTAAATCCTCTGCTGAATCTTCAAAAGAAGAAAATTTACAATGCTGTAGGTTATTTCCTGTGTGTTCTTCTGTAAAATGTTTTATTAATTAATAAATGAACATTTCCCAATAACAAATAATAATTACAAATAAAATATATTAATACTTTAATGACAGTGTAATGAAAACAAGCCCAAGAGATTACCATTTCAGGGAGAGAGGGGGAAGGACAAGTAAATGCGAAGGCATGAAGTCTTTATCTTTTCTCCAGACTGAACTTTAGATAAGAATTAGCTATGGATTTGTGAAAAGGTACCAGAATCTCATAACAGCGCTTTAGCACCAGCTGTCCTCGGCACAGAAGCCTGATGCCCAAGGAACAGATGGTGAAAGACACACCCTGCACGTCTTATATTGTTCAACTGAACAGGCCATTTGTTAGCAAAGAATTCATTTGTAATGCTATCCTACTGTTTCCTTTAATGATATGCAGGATTTATACAAAATCAAGCCTTCAACTTGTAAGTAAAAAGTACTATGTTGCTTTCAACAATTCTTACCAAGGAGTGTAGAGAGTTTTCATAGTTTGGAGATGAGGGGGCTTGTCCTCCACTCCTAGACCACTGACTGGCACCTGTCAAAATTGTCTAGGTTAACGCACAGATTTATGCGGCATAAGTGGGAAGCAGAGACGCAGTATTTCTCAACATAATTAAAACCAACATATTCTGCATAAAGGTAAGCTAACATATGGGTATACAAAGGAGGATAAATTCCTTCATTCTGCCTTATTGAAGGATAATCTTTATATCCTGGCATCTGTAGGGTTAGACACATTATCGATGACAAAGCAGTGACATCTTCAAAGTACTTCAATATTAAAAAAGTGGACTAACACACACACACAGAGTATCTGAAATACCTGCCTTCTGCCAGTGTCACCATAAAAAGATTGCTGAATTCTTTCTTCTTCTGATTATGTTCAGTATATGTAGACATATCTTTAATAGCGTTAAAATATACAACAAAAATATTTAAAGAAATCAAATAGACACTGAATTAAGGATAACTGGAAAACCATTTTTATGACATCTCTCTACTAAACAAGAAAACTTAAAACTACATCTAAAAGCTTTCTTTATCTTGTCTAGTTCTACACTATACCATTTTAGGTTATAATGCATTCCAAGTTTAGAAGAGTAAAAATACACCGAAGTTACTCCCATTTGTTATTTCGGATGTATTTAAGGTAAATTGGCAGCTAAAGAATGATTGTGCAACAAATCGACAATTATACCCATATTACCTATACACTGCAAATTCAAATACATATCCATTCTAATCTGACATAAATATACCTCACTCCCATGTAAAATTTAGAAATAATTAGATGTGAAATGCAGTAACTAATAAAGCAGTACTTTTAAAACAAAGCCTGAAGTAGTACAACATGTATTTTTCTCACCAACTAATAATGCATCTTTTATAAAGATACTACATGAAATTCTATGTCCATTAGAGACAGCTTCCTTTCAGCCATACAAATGTAATAATAAAGCAATTACATTAATAAATTATGGACATACAATCCAAAGCAGCTCATTAAAGGAAGAGCCTGTGGGCTTGTTCTTTCAATAACAGCCAGAGCTGTACGTCTGGAAAACTGGGAAAAGGTTTAATAACATTACAGTTCCTTTGTTCAGAGAGCTGCAAGTAGTTACCTTTTAAAGAAAGGGTTTTATTTAACAAAAAGAGTACAGCTTGCATAGCTATTAAAATACCTAAATATTTCCTTTCTAATTAAAAAAAAAAAAAAACAAACCATCATCTTCAATTTCATAAAAGCCCAGAGCTGCCATAACTGTGTTGGAATTCTCTTTTAAAATATAACAACATCAGTGAGTAAGTTTATAATTACCAATTTTCACTTCACTCAGCTACTCTGGCTCTGGATCTGTAGTTTCCCTCCACATTACTGTCATTCCTGAACTTGGGAATAATGCTTGGAGTCCCATGTATTTTTGCAAAGCATTAATGAAACAACTTTAGAATATTTTGGCTCAGTGTAACGTTTAAATTTTTATCTGGTCAAAACGCCATTTTTAGAGACAAGACCATAGTCAAGGCTTTAATGAGTGCTCACTACTAACAGGATTGAGTTTACTACTTCCTACAATAAAGCATCAGCTGAATATTAAGCAGAAAGGCAAGCAGTTAAGAAAAGAAAGCAAATAGACTCAATGCCTGTGCATCTAGTCTGATGAGTTTGTTTTGAGTTTTTTTTGTTTTTTAAATGGACAAAGGTACTATATTTCCTTAATGCAAGCCCAGAACAAAACTGAGTGGGACTTCTCACAAAGGAAACAAAAAGAAAAGGGGGAAGGGAATATTCAACTCCCTCTCCTCTCAGAGGAACAACTGCAACCTGCAGTTTTTAATCACACCTCTAGTAATGCTAGTGCTCTTTCTGAGCGGTGGCATATCTGTCTCCATGTCTGCGCAGGTTGCCAGATGGCACTGATTTCCTGCTTCCCTCATTCCACTCCCCCTCTTAGAAGTTTGTGCGTGAAATCCACCAATTATGTTAAAAAGCATCCTGGCACCACAAGCCCTGCAATTAACAACTGCAGCTTTTAGCGCAGCACCAACATAGCAGCATGAAAAAACAAATAAGCCAGGCAAGTGTTAGGATTTACCAGGGTCATCGATAGTAATCACTGTAGTATTGTTCTTATTCTCAGAGTCTCCCCAACACTAATCCCCTGGCTCCCCTTTCAAACACACACTCGCATCGGAGTCAGCAGAGGGCTGGTTTTGCATCCTCAGAACCGACCGAACCCTTCTGAATACCTCTGATCCTGTGAGGATTCTTAAAATGCCAAGGCTCCCATCATTCAGATCCATATATAAACTTCACATACATATACACAATCATTAAAACTATGCAAGAAGCTAAGCTCTATGCATGTTTATGTAAAATTAGAAATTAAATGAGGACAGGAAAGATGAGACACACACTATTGTCTCATAATACTTGGGGGTTTTCATCTTGTTGTTCTCAAAGCTTTTACTTAAATTAATAAAAAAACGTCGTTAGTCCTTATTCAGTAACAGAACAGCGAAATAGTCAAACATGAGCTTATATACTTAAGTATCTCATGAAGTCACTATCTCTCAATGCTTTAAATGGCAAATAGAGTGCTCCTACTGTAATTTACAATTAAAGGGTAGGTAAATTATGACTTATGTCAAATCTATAATAATAAGAATGCTAAATAAACAAAGAACTAACTGCAAAAGAGGAAAATCACGATGAAGGCTAAAATGCTCCAAAATATATTATTTTAGTATACGTAAAACATTTGTTTTATCTGCAATAACTTTTTGGGTCAGGACAGAAAATGGCTACCAGGAGTATAAATAGCAATAAATATAGTAGTAATTACTTTACATTGTGCTTCACTGTGTTCTTAGCGACTCATGTGGGAATAAAGATAAAAGTCCAGATTCATAAATGAAGGTAATTAACTACTGGAGCAATTTACCAAAGGCTTGATAAATTCTGTATCACTGGAATTAGAGGGTGTGGGGTGGGAGGGTATAATTGTAAAGCAGATGCTAGGTTTGTGCCTGAGAAGGATTTCAATATTGTTTGCTTATATCTACTACTGTCTTAGCCATCAGAATCCAGAATAAGGAACACAAATCAAAGTGCAAATTTTTGAGTGTTTTACATATGATACAGGTTCCAACAGACAAAGGCATCAACAGCAAAGGGAAAATCCAAATTTTAGGGATCTCAAATTTGTATTCTAAAACCAGAAATTAGCTAGTGATTTCATGCTTACAAAATTAGATGTGGTATCTAATCAGGACTCCAAATGGGATCTTTAAAATTTTAAATACTTCGAAATGTCAGAACTTCTTTCTTCCAGCCACAGAGCTCCTTTCAATATTTGCTTTGATGTTAAAAAGAAGAGAGTAATAATTTTCTGGTCTGATCTGCCTTTTCAGTACAACAAGGATACACGAAACATTTTTTGTCAACTGTAATTACTAAATCAAAAATCCCATTAATCCCATCGTTACTCAATTCAAGATGTTTTTTTCAGTGATAGAAACAAAATGCCCAAAGCAGCTGCTCAGGTATACCATGTCAGACATTCATTAATCCATTAAGTCCACAGAAAACCAGAACACTGTCCATTAAACATGAGTGAAGTATGAATGATGAAAGTTTTCTGAGTGACATGGCATATATAGATATGCATATTCACATACATATGTATATAACTGCATTTTGCATGCAATAACTTTACTAATTTATTCATCTAGATTACAAAAGTGTTCAGTTAAGCTCGTTCTGTACACCTTTCACTATAAGTTAATTTTTTTAATATATATAAAAAACAAAACACACTTGCAAAAGAGTGACCAACGGCCAGGAGTCTGCAGGGATATATCAAACAATAGAGAATGGGAAAACAGACTGTTGTATAAACGTTAAATAATTTAACAAATTGCACTATAGGAAAGAACTGGGTTAAAGTTACATCATCTTGCTTGTAATTCTAGTTCTTTGTTAAACAACAAATTTAAGTCAATGGAGCTTTCACAGTCCTCTCTATATGGAGAACAGCTGTTCAACTTTTACTAGACAGCTGAGGCCACAGTGTCTGTGAAAGCTGCACTACCCACTAATAGCTGTAGGCAGCTGCCCACAGTTCATCTCCACACTGGAATGCTTCTTCCCACATTCACACTACAAACACACAAAGCACAGGTGACAGAGGTGGCTGCAATACAGAGCATTTATTTTGAAAAATGCCAGAAATTCTTCTCCCATAGAATGAAAGCATTCATGAAAGATATGAATGAAAAGCTATCCTGTGTAAAAACTGGATAGTCTCATAGCCTACTATATTTTCATTAGAGGGAACACACATCTGCTGTGTTTGTCACTGAAAGCTGCCGCAGAGTTTTAACATACAGCTTTAAAAAAAAAACCCAACCAAATCACTCTTATTTCTCTCCAATGGTACAGATCTGTACAGATATCTTTATAGCTGTGATACTGTCATTCAATGTTTTCAAAGATTATTTTAGTAAGCTAATTTTCAAAGCCAGTTGCCAGGATTTAAGTGAATGCTCATAACAAAATATTTAAGAATCTGGATTTATAAATCTGGGGTTAGTACAATGGGAAAAGAAACAAAATACAGAAGTAATTATGCAAGGAATTATAGAAGTAATTATGCAAGGATTTCACTGTGATTCCAAACAGGATGTTTTCAAAACAACAAATAAGTTATTGACAAATGGCTAATCTCTACCTGTAAGAGGCGATGGTGATCCAACTGGTGTTGATGGATTCGATGGAAAACTACTGCTGGTATGATCAGGAGAATAAATCTAACAACAGATGAAAGAGATTGTATATCAATACATCTCATAATACATGCTAAAAAAAAATAGCTATTGGGATTCCTTTTCATGCTTTTAATTGTCACTCTTGATGCTGGATTGATAAAAAAACAATTTGATCCTTCAATCACAGCTCTGCTTTATTACACTCAAGGCTCTAAAAATGCCCAGAAAACTTTCATTTTCAAGCAGCTGTCAAAATAAGCGCAGTCTGTATTTGATAGCGACACAAGTATAGCGGATCTTCCTTCTACTTTAACAGCAGCAGAAATTACAGCCTTTTTATCACTGAAGGGGAACGATATACGTAAAAGTTAACAGTACGCAGATAATTATAACAAACAAAACTTCAGGAAAATGCGGAGGAATCCCAAACTTTAGAGAGAGAAAAGGTTTTAGCAGTCAACACGTTATCTTCTAAAAATTAATCCTTCACAAGAGAAAATACCAAGAAAGCATTAAACTCTAGTTACTACTGGTACCTACCAAACGAAAACCATCTGAAATTTTGTTGCTTTTGCAACAATGCATTGTTGCTCTTGCTGCAATGTATTGCAGCACACACAATTTTTCCTCTCTTATCTCTGTATCAATCGCTCCCTTAAGATACTAAACCTCAACTTGCAACAATTCATTCCTTGCTATTAATGTAATTTAAAAATATTGATAAAAACAGAAGACATAATGCTTAAAGCTTTAATTAAAACTTAAAATTTCAAGATTCTTGGAAAATTCATTTTGTGATGGAAACTGAATAGGTTTAGAGGCTGACTATGGACTTCAGAACATATTTTTATAGGTCATCAGTTCAAACCTGTTTTACTTGAGCAGAGACCAGGATTTGTTAGTCATCAGATGGCAGTTAAAAAATCTTCACTGGCAGTGTGGTTGATGTCTCTTCACACAGACAATATAACATTTCAGCATTTAGCAGACAATAAACTGGGACTTGGTTAAAGTTGCATATTGTATTTTTTTAACTGACAAAGCCAGGACCTGATAGACCACATGCTCCTCCTTCGCCTACCATACTTCTTCATTAGAAAAGCCCATCAGTTCCCTAATGGAAATACCTCCTCTTTTTCATACATGCCAGAAAGAAAATATATTTAAAAGAACAAACTACCTCAAACCATTGTAGGAAATACATGCATTGTACATCAGTATAAAAATAAATCTTGGGTGTCAGTATGGGAACTGTAGAGAGTTCCAGGCAGATAAGATACAGAAAATTAAAATGATGTCAGAAAAAAGGCCATAAAGTTTCCTTTGAAACTGGTTCTTTTCCACCGCTCTACCTGCCCACTTTATTTTGCTATATTTTGTAAGGGGGAAAACCTACATTTTACCAAAACCACAAATAAAACACGAGGTCAGAATTCATTGGGCGTGCAGTCCCTGGCCGCTGTGCTGTTAAATGACCGATGATGAACAACCCTGACACCTTCTGCCAGGCTTAAACGGTAACATGACTCATTTTACTGCAACAAATGAGACTCCTCCTCCTATCAGTCATGGTCCATTCCAATCAGCGGGGTGCCAATATGCCAGGGTCTAATGAAAAGGCTCTTAGACAAAAGCTGCACAATTGAGAGCCTGCAGAGCCAAACCTCGGAGCTGTTAGTCCAATTTTTTAAACACTACAGTGTACATTTCAGTTAGGTTTTGTTATGTTAATGTTATTGAGTCTAAAGCAACAAAGAAACTTAATTCATGAATTACTTTTAGAAGTCAACTTCCCTACATTTTCTTTTCTTTTGTGAGGGGACCAGTGGCTATTTAACTACCAAGCCCATACAAAGGTCTTTACCCTAGTTCTGAGGTAGGAATCAAAACATAAGTTATCACAAAGAGGTCTGATATAATCAACAAAGTTAAACAGTCCTCCTGTTTGATCTCCTCTAAATTAAAGACCAAGTGTTTTGATTTGGCATTAGGCAATGAAATAAACCAGATGTTTCTCCTGCCATATAACCCTCCATGGGCACAATCTTAAAGGGTTATTGTTTGGCAAATGTTCAGGGAAACACATTAGAAATGGCACGAATACCCAGATTTTCTTTTCTTTCTATCTATACTAGTTCATTATCCAAACTAATGCATAATCCACAGGGCTTTGGGAACTTTGTGTAAATACTTTCATGTACAATTCTCTTTCTTGCCTACCCCGAGATTAAGACCACAATTATCCAGGCTTAAACCTAAAATAAAAGAACCTTTGCAAATGTATTATCTGGCCTTACATGTTTAATCACATACTATTCTGTATGGTCTTTAATACCTAAACTGAAGAACAAATGTCGTATCCTCTGATGTTTCGCACATGAAAGGCCTATTGTGAGATGTACATCAACAGAATTTTAGAACTAGAAATTCCTCTCAACAGTTGCAGCAGTAGCATTTAAAATCCTAACCGAAAGGCATATAGCGCCATCTTAGGAAAAAAAAAAATTAAATAAAACTTTGTTCAAACAGAAAAACATTCTTGGTTTACTAGCCATCAAAATTCACATGCGCTAGCTTCACCCGCAGGAGAGACCACCTCCCTCCTCTCCACAACCGTGAGCGGTGCTCCTTGCCGAACAAGCGCAAGAAGTGTGCTGGGTGCGCGCGTGTTGCGGGGTAAGCAGATGGATGAGGCGAGGGATTTGAAGTGTGCAGACTATGGCATGCACTGATAGAGCAGATGGAATGCATCACCATCAGCTATGACAGAAATGATTTATGGAATGACCTGGCTGCTCCTGCCAAGCAACAACACGGGATGACAGAAACAAGTTTCTATGACAACCAGAGCCCACCCACCAGTTAGATTAAACATTTCTGCCCTGACTTCCACTCGCAATATATTTAGAGTTTTTTCTCAAAACACGAGCCTGGCTTTCTCAGCTAGTGACTTGGGCAAAAATACCTGAAAGGATGAGAAAATAATTTAAAAAAGGAAAGCAATGGAAAACGTCACAGAGTCCTGCAGGTCTAACTGGCCGGCATGTCAGACTTAACAACAGAAATTTTGGTCAGGCTGCAGAACAGCAGACATTCTAATATATCCACAGAGTAATGGACAGCCTGAAGTATGTAAGCATTGCTATTTCTAGAAGTCAAAATGATCCCAGTTCTTTTCTGACAGGTCTCAAACAGACAAAAAGGGAGTGTTAACTGCCCTCTAGACTTGTGAATTGTTATCTACTTGCTGAATCCCCAAAAGCAATAGGGACAGCATTTTTCTCCTCAAAGCTAGTAGGTCAGAGTTCTCCTACCCAATATGGACATTGCAGACATTATCAGATCTGGTAATCTTTTAACATATGACCCTCTGGGGGATGCAAGGGTAACAGGATCTGCACGAATATGCACATTTGCATTCATTGGTATGAGGTGAGGGATGCAGAGTCCAACCCAGGAATGGTCTTTTGGGGCTGCAAAATAGTCATTTCTATCTTTTAAATCAGACTTAGTCTCCCTATTTGCTACATACAAGAAATACAAAGTGCTCCCCCAGCCACTACTCCTAACTCTGAAATTTCTGCTATACTGTATCAATTACTGTTTTATAAAAAGCACATCTGATTGTATTAATACAAAAATAATTGCTGTATGCATGCATATGTAAACAGAGCTTTTAGTAGACTGAAGATACTTGCAACATTTTACATTATCTGTATTATTCCAACAAGAGTTAAGAGTTTAAACTTTATGGATACACAGCATTTTAAAGGCTCTTCCATAAATTATAGCTATACAACACAGCATTCAAAACCTCTCAGTTTTATAAGGCCACTGAGAAAACATTTTAAATCTTGAGGCAGGATCTGCTCTAAGAGTAATGTTAAAAATATTTTACTTTAACTAGAACACTGTGGGGGGAGAAGAAAAAATCAAGCCCTAAACTTTTATAATTATCTTTTACTTTGTCTAAACAACTTTCTAAACTACATCTGCCCTAAATCTTCCCATCACCTGAACACAAAAAAGTCAGAATGAGTCCTCTACAAATAAAAGCATTTTCCACTTGCTTTTTTATAGACATTTGTCTAGTGTATGACATCGTATCATAGTACATTATTTTAACTTCATACATGAAAACTGCTGATTTAATATTATAAAATGAATGAACACATAAATAATGGATGCAATGATCAAAATACGTCTTTCAGATCTGAATATTCTAACTGCTACTTACAGATGCCAACGCCTTTCCAAGTGCATCGCCTGTCTGTGAGCTTCCAGCACCATTTCCTCTGTTTCCTGTAATGTGGAAAGCAAACCCAACACTTATTTTTAAAGCTGAAATTTTATTTACTTTTATTATTTTATTCATCGCGTACAGTTGAGCAACCACTTTTTAAACGGGTATTCGAGGAAGTCAGTGTCAACAGAAACAGGTTCTCGTTATACTTAAAAATTTATTTAAAACAATTAGATTTAAATTTAGATACTCTTCTCTTTAAAGTCAAACACAGTATCACCGTGATAACTTAAGGACCAACAAGTGAAAGCAGTTAGAAAAAAGACTGAAATTATTTTCTTAGGATCACAGGCCAATTTTCATGAAATGTGAAAAGAAAATCAAAATCAGAAAATTGTATGATTGCAGCTTATTTCTAAACTGTTATCACTAAAGTACCGCACGTTTCATTAATTCTTAAAGCCAAATTCACTGAATAGTTCCTTGTGTGTCTCCTTGTTCCCCCTGCTCTAATTCCCCGTGTTGTACTCTCATCTTTATTTTAGAAAATCCCTGAAAAGCTCTTATCCACCAAGCTTTCTGTCACCCCTGCTCTTAGTTGCATGTCAGCAGCTTTGCATGCCCTTTTGCTCCACACACCATCAAGCCAAGAGGAGGTCTGAAACCCTGCCAACTGGAAACGCAGAAAGGACCTGAATCCTCTGAAATATCTGCTTCACTGTAGAAGACAGACCCTTTAAAAGTTAATCTCCTTTCTCCAGTTATCAACTTCTAATGCCAAAAAATTGTGTTTAATGTGAATATAAGCCATTCACATCAGAAATCCAAATCATGCAACACTCGCTGTTTCAAGCTTGTGGCAAACTTGGATTTTCCAGCCTGAATCTCCCAGGCAGATTCATTAACTGGGTTCTGTTTAAAGATCTGAGTGTAAAACATGTTCCCAAATCAAAGCCAATATAGTCACTCTAAGTAAATTCCGCTTACCTAAAATGAAGCTACGTGCAAATCACATCAAACTGACAAGGGGCGTCTACAAGCATTTAATTTCTATGGCTGTATCTTAAGATGTGCAAATATGTGCAAGGAACAGATGATCATCTTGTATTTCATGCTTTCTAGGTAAGCACAGAAGAGACTAAACCAGCCACCATACTGGCTACTCGGTAATCTCTAAATCAGTTAAAAGAGGAATTTACGATGCAATTTATCAAGCTCCCCAAAGAAACAGTCTTTCTGCCTTTCTCCTGCACAGTACCTTGGCGTTACAGCAGCTCTGAGAACTGCAACACCAGAACTAGCTATATGAACAGGTACATATACTAAACTATGGAAGGATAATTGCCGTTAAGTTAGATGGATACAATCTCCTGAGCATAGGCTTGGCTGCAAAAGCAAATAAACCAGTAAGTCTTAAGCTGACTGCAAAACAATTTGCCTCGTATCTCAGCCATACTGAGGACAGAAACATCACAGTGGTGCGGTATCCCTGACCTACAAGCATCCCATAAATTAAATCTTGATTTTGTGCGTCATGCAGCCCTCAATTTAATTTCCTCATAAAATTAAAAAAAAAAAAAAAAAAAAACACAACAAAAAAACCCTCCACAAACAACAGGAAAACTTTTTACCCAGAATATTATCTGATCCATTGACAGGTGGAGTGTGTGAAGCAGCTACATAAGGTGAACTGCTGGTACTGCCACGATGGAAGCTAGACATTGGAGGAAGACTAGCATTTATATCTGTAGGTGAGACTGAATGTGGGGGATAGCTCTAGAGAGAAGAGAAACAGACATAAGACATTAAGCAGTCTTTAAATAAATGTTGATATTTTAAGATACCAAATATACAACACCCAGCTCTTTAATAAAGAAAGGGACTCATCCATCCTCTGAACAGACGACTATACAGCCGCAGATTTTTATTTACACAACAGATATAAATAAAAGGACATAAATCTAATCTAAGTTTGTGATTTCTGACAACTGGGTTTTTAACTGACATACATGAGCAGCAAACAAGAAATGAATTCTTGTAAGTCAGATCTCCATATACAAGTACAAATACATTAACCTGTGCTGCGTATCTTACCAAACGGTCGTGTGTGTGCAGGCTGCCGTAACTGCCGGACTGGGACATGTGGGAAGAGGAGCCTCCCAGCATCCCACCATAGCCGGGCTGGCTCATGCCATTGGATGAACTCCAGAGGTCAGAAGAATTGTGGGTCCCATCTTTTTTTTATTTTTATTTTTTAATAAAAAAGAAAACAAGAAAAATACATTTAATGAAGAAGAGTACTGAGTTCTACTTTCCTTTACAAAATTATTTTAAAAGAATACAGAATTCAGCTACTCAGACTAACATCAGCAGGGAAATGGTGACCAGTTTATACTGCGTCTTCTATTTTCATGCCACCACACTGTTGCTATATTTTGTTAAAAAAACCCCAGAAAACCAATAGAGGCTTTATAGCTGAAATACAATCCAACCACAGCTGAGAAAATACTAAGTACTTCTGCTAGTTACACAGACCTTCAGTAAGGCCAGATTTATATCAAGAGGGTTGATAAAAATTCCAGACTGAGAGAAATAATAAAAAAGGGGGTGGAGGAGACAGAAGTTTGGCTAAACAGAGCTCATCACAAACATACAGCGCAAAACATCTATTAACCTAAAATAAGCAATTTATAGTCTAGAATACCTTAGTACCACAAAAATAGAAAAAAATTTTGTAATAGCAGATTTAAGTAACTGAAATGACTACACTACATTACATAAGCCTTAAACCCATGTGTCAATGCAGTTTTCCTTCTGTACCACAAACTGAGGTGCTCTGTAAATTCTGAGAGACTGTGCTTTCAATATGCTCCAAAACCTCATCAGACTACAGTATGAGCTAATTGTATGACGTGAGGCCGAGGAAATGAATTCTGCTCTCGTTTTGTTCAATGCAGCCCCCCCCCCCCCATTTTTTTTTTTTGTGGATATACAAGCATTTGAGAACTTAGAACTGTTAGCTGATATTGTACAGTCAAATTCCAGAACAGTCAAGAAGCCCTCACCTCATTTTTCTCTATCACTCCCGTGTGCTGCTCTGAAGCCCCTACAATGAAAGGATGGGGGATTCTGTCCATCTGGCCTGGTGTCTAATCCCCTTAAATTTCAGTCAGCAATTAATGTCATGAGAAAAACTTTAAATCAACAGACAGCTCCCTTCATCTAACTGTTTTAAAAGTATATAAAACTTAATCATAGGCTCTAGCACAGTATGTTACCTTTACGCTTCCTCATTCATTCAGTACAACAGTGGCTGACTGCAGATTTCTGCCTAAAGGACAAGAGACACCTACCCATATATTTGAAGTCATGTTACCCACCTTGCATAAAGAAAGTGCTAGCAAACATACTGCTTGGTGGCTTAGGAGACGGGTAACTTGGAGATTCTCTGTTGAAATCATCAGAACTCGGGGATGGTGCATACACCTAAATATTGGAGAGTAATAAAAGCAGGTTAGTAATATTTGGGTGTCATGCATTAAAAAACCCGTAACAGCATAGACACAGATAGAAAGCACAAATAAAAAAAGAACAGTGTAGCAAGCTGCAGCATTTGTTGCCCTTGTTTTATTTGCTTTTTAGCAAGTTGCCACAGTACAGAGGAACTACAGTAGAATGATCCTAACAACACACTTTCTGGTGTGCCAACTCAGCCAGGTGGCCTGATAAAAGCTTGAATGCTGATTTTGCTTTCTAAGTGCATGATTCGCACAGACTTGTTGCTCAAGATAAAAAAAGCAAGATAAAACAACTGGGCCCCAAACAAATTTTATTTTAAAACAACTGCATGCCTGTTTGAATATTTAATTAGCTGGCATCCCAACAATCAGAAAGAAAAAGAACATCAAGTGACAAATTGAAAGATTTTAAGGCAACCATTATATCATCCATTCAGAAACTTGCATGCCTTTGCATAGTCATCAAAAATATATGTAATGCAAGTCCTGAGGAATAATCCTAAAAATGCAACATTAAGCAAATTATTTTCACACTGGCCTAGCATTAAAGAAAACCAGCATTGTTCTTTTTTCAGTGTAACAATGCATTGAAATGACCATTCTCAACTTGCAAACAATGAATTTTCTTAACAAGTCAAAAATTGTAAGGTGCCAAATGAACCTAATGATTAGAAATCTTTCACTGCAGTGACTCTAAGAAGAAACATAAAGCATATTCAGAAATAAATAAGTCAAATAAACAAAGCCAGTATTCACAGACTCAAGGACTCTACCCGTAACATTAGTTGTTCTAAGCGATGCTATTTCTTCGTAGCAGTATTTTGGTCAACATACTGAATATTGCAATATGACTAGAGTATGTTAAAAGAAAAATCTTTAAAAAAAAAAAAGCAAATTAACAAATATGGCAGCAAAGAATATCAAAATATAACATTGAAACAAGAGCACCTTTTTTTTTACAAAATAAAAAATGCAGTATTTTTATTTTTTCATCATTCACCTTACTTGTACATACATAAGGTTTCATAAACGCATATATTAAGAATAATTTGAAAACTCTAAAGCTTACATAATGCAACTTACAAAGTGCGCTATGACCTAAAATTCAAAAGTTAATATTTTTATCCCTTCCTATGCAAATACAAGCACACGCATATATCTCCAACATTCACATCTCTCCCTTGTCTTTCTGGGATGTTGTTTACCAAGCAAGAGAAGGGCCAGGAAAACCAAGCCGGCCAACAAAAAAGGGTAAGTCCCCAAAAGACAACCATTGTTCTCCTGGAGGGTGATTGTTCTGATACGGATATTTAGAAAGTGAAGCGGGCAAATCCCGCTTTCATTTGCATACCAATACCCCTCCTCCCCACTCCCAAATGCTTTTCTAGCCTGCTGTTGTCAGACCAAATGGCTGGGCATGTGCCTGCAGACAGTACTCTTTTACATCAGAGGGACTGATTTACCACTCTCTTAGACTCGTTTTACATCAACAGAATTTCAATAAAATCTATCAAACTACAGTATGATGGAATCAGGACAAGGGTACAAGGAATGAAGCCAGGGCATAGCTGTCGATACGAGCCACGTAATGAAAACGGCAGCAGGTAACAAGATACCTGATAAAAAGGAGTCAAGTGGAAAACTTACAACTTTTAGTTGCATGCTTGTTTTAACATTTTTTTTTTTAATCAAAATAAAGGGAAAAAAATTTAGGAAAGAAAGCCTTTCGGAGAGCTTTTGTTCAATATTTTACTTGCAGTTTTCAATTTACGGAATAAATGTAAAATAGAGATGCTTACCAAACCTGAGTGACAGAATGACAATACATTATAAGCAGTGTTAACAGTACATATGTATTTACTATATATGATGAATGCATGTATATTCCATGCCTCAGACATATTTTAACAGAAACGTCACTCTGTCAAATTGTAAATACTCGCAGTCCTAAGACTGCAAACATATTAGGCAAAACCGGGCTTAATTTACAAGTTCTCTGTTGTGCAGAATAACACAGCATGTGCTATAGCTGATGGATAATCTATCACTGTCACAGGACAGCAGTGGAAACAAAGCTTTATGACATTTAGCACTGCCACGGAGATGTACGCTGATTAATGCGAAATCACCTACAATGACGAATTATACTTCTTTTAAAGTGTAACATTATCAATGAGATTTGTAAATACAAGCTTCGGACTGAAATTTTAACATTTTACATAATTGGGTGATTTATAAAAACTGATTAAACACTATCTCAAAAGAGAAATTAAACTGAAAAACTTCTACAAATGTATCATTTACAGATACATATGTAAAAGCCATTAACATAATAAAAATGTTATGAATTATATTAACATAAGAGAGGCCCTTCCAAACAGCTACATGAAAGTCCTAGCACAGACACATAACTTTATATAGTTTCTGCTTGTTTTGGTATCTTAACTATAGCTTGCAAAAACATAGCTGCGATGTTATGAAGCTGCACTTGTGCCAGTCTAGATTTTTCAGATCAAAGGGTTCTTGCGGCAAAACACAACTGATGTGGTCTCAAAGACTTCATTAACTCCAGATGTGGGGAAATAGCCAGCCAATTCCACAAAAGGAGCAAGTCTCTTTTAGTTACAATCAGAACTACCCACAAATTCAAACCAGGCCTCTGATGTCATCTGATCACCTGCAGATGAGCGCCAGGTTTTTTTCTGGTTAATGACCTAATCATAATTTTTATGTTGTGTTACTACAAACAAAATTTAAAAGCAAAGGAGAAAACTTACTAAGATTAACCTGAAGTCCATGAGATGCAAAATACAAAGGTTTTAAATAAAAAAGCTGATTAAAAAAACCCGACATTTTATTTTTAAGTTGGGAAGCGATATATCAGGGCAACTAGTTTGTTCACTTTGAAAGCCCCGCATGCACTAGGACCCCTATCCAGCAAAACGTAGCCTCTGTGGCTGCTGGCCCGCAGGGGGCTTGCATGGCTGCGCAGCAGCTCCCGGTCTGTGCCCTAGTTAAAGGGCTCTCTCTTCTGCAACAGCTGAGTAAGGCAGTTACAAATATGACGTGGCTGCTCTTTTAGCTATTAAACTGATAACAGTGACTTCCAGGAGGCATCAAACCAGTTTTTCCTGGCTGACGTTCCCACTAAGACAAGGAATACTGTTAAAAGGTCAGCCTGTCTGCAGAGTGTCCTTGAAGAGAGTTTCCAGCAGGTAGAAAAGGAGCCCGTCTTCTAATCCCCTTAAATGCACTGCACCCGAAGGCATCAGATGTGTCTCCATGCTGACAAGCAAAACACTCTCCGATTATGAATGGGAAATTCCCTTCCGATAAACACATGCAAAAACTAGGTTTTTTACATGACATATCAAGTGGAGGACTCTACCTTTTTGGAGCTGCGCTAGAATATACATCAATCCTAACACTGCATGCTTCTGAAGGGTAGATGGCCTCCGCAGAGGGAAGTAGGACAAATGAGTTGCAAAGGACATCAAGTCAGAGATCCGCATTGGTCTCTTCACCCTGAACTGGTTTATGTTTCTCCAGTGGGAAAGGCAGGATGACAAATCAGATTTTTTTTTTTTTTGAGGGGTAGTGGTGGGAGCTGACTTCAGAACAGAGCTGAGAAGACATTATTTGTACTACACCAGGTTTAAGCAAAACAAATGCATCATCCAGTTCTGAAATCTGCCCTGGTGATTAACATACATAATGAACACTATCATGAAAGCTACACGGACCTAATATATCTAAAACATATCAAAGGCTTACACAGTGTGCTTCTGCTTACTAATACAAGTGCCAATAACATGAACATTAATTTGAAGATACCAAATTTTATGCTAAGTAAAACTTACAAGTCTCATTCTATAAATGCATTTAATAAAGATAACACTTAGAGTCCTCCTGTTGGCATACTTCCTCTCACGCAATTTTCCCATAATCTGTTTCAAATTCTTAAATATTTATCGATGTTTAATATTAATGTTAAAAGCAGATTAAAAAATAGCAATGAAGCAACCAAACCTTACTTCCGATGACCAAGGCTCCAATCATGCATACTGTTTACGTAATTATGAATTATGTTACTCATTTAAGCCTAGTCATTAACAATTCTTGGAAGTTCAGGAAAATATTTATCAAGCTGCTGGAGACAGAGAATTTTTTGAAACCAGTAGAGATGGATAACCTATTCTGTAGCTTGTAAACTCTGCTAAGTAGCCTATCTACATTCCATCAGCATCAGTCATGCACTAAGCAAGTGCACACTGATGAATGATTTGTACATGTGGCAAAATTTTACAGTGCATTATATGCAAGTTTTGTGGCAAAAGCTAATTCTGCTGAAAGGCAGCTCTGGGAAAAGGAAACTTGTTTTCATGTTTATTGTATTTCTGACAAAATCATGTACTAAAACTTCAGGAGTGTAGAATAGTAACTATAGTTTTCCATGCTCCTCTTCAAAGCAAGACAGAAGCTGCCAAAAACAAAACAAAACAAACCCAACAAACCCACCCTAAACTCTTGTTTAGTTGATATTTAAGCAAGATGATAAAATGAAGAGCCCTAGTACACAAGATCAGTATACCACATCCTCAATCATACTTTTTGTTTCCAATACCAGGTGTAAAGGTTCATACATTTTAAAAACTCTTCTCACCACCCAGAATGAAAATAAAACACTCCTTTAAGAGAACAGAGCATCAGTCTTGTCTGCAAATCCAATCATAATTTTTAAGGATGGTACAAAATTCAACGTCCTTGAAATAGCTAAACTGAATTCCATCTTAAATAAATGTTTATCCAGTTTAGGCATGCTATACATGCCTATTTGGGTATTTTTGAAATGCAGAATCCCACTGCAATGGTACATAGCACAAATACTTTCTAGCTTCTTCCCCAGTAAATGACAATTTTAAAGTCATGTTAAAAAGTGACAGGCAAACTTACCAAAAATCCCA